TGTTAAATTTAAACGGTCATTAACGCAACGTACTAAGTGCAGCGTAATAAATAACTCTGTCACTGATTATTATATAATATGGATTAGTAAAGCGGTTGCACTTTGTCATTATCCGATTATCTAGTACTTTATTTTTGTGTGTAGTTATTTTGCTTTTGCTTCTAGGAGAGAAAAATACAATAAAGAAATTGTACACATGTTAAGTGTGTCGCCGAATCTGTTACAGATAAGATAAGTATTAACGCGTGTAAATGTGATAAGAGTTGTCTTAGAAGTTGCGGCAAATTTGAGTATTCGTGGAAGTACTTTTGTAGTACCTTTAGATTAACATGTAGATCAGTTTTTGTTCAAGTAACGACTCGCATTTTGTTTGTGTTTTATTCTCTAGTGGTAATTTTTGCTTTTAATATTTTTTCCATGTTGGTTGGCACCGGAACGGTGGTACTTGTATGTTATAATCTCAGTGATTTTTACTATCTTTCTATTTTTATTTATTTTTCGTTGTGTCATTTCATTCATTTCATAAATTTTCCTCGTGCGTTTAAATATTCTATATTTTTATTTACTCGTTTGATAATTTCCTTAAAAATTTTGTTTCGTTTATTTTTTTGTTTATCAATTTACACAATAAATGTTTTTAGAGAAATCGTGGAATCTTCACTTCCGGTGAAGGCAATTTTATTTTGTCAACTTTTATTTTTACTTTTTCTGAACAAATTTTTTTCAATAATGTGTTGCAACATTCGCAAATTATAAAACATGATCGTCATATCATGTCTAATGAATTTTTCAAAATCAAAAAGGTATTGTTAGACCGGAAGAGAATCAAGATCTTGACGCTCCAAAATGAAATTTCAAATTGAAAATTTGGGTTTTGAATTTACCTAAAAATTCACTAAAAATTCTGGGTAATCTCGACGAGCTGATTTCCAAAACCGATCGTGTTGAAGATCTGAGACCAAAATTTCCTAAATATGGCCATTTTTTGGCGATTCTGGAAAAATGGTTGGAATATTCGAGGAAATGAGGCCGAAAATAACTTCTGCAACTCGAAATCAACAAAAAAATGTCCTTGGATAATTTTTGAAAGTGCTTGGAAAAGAGTCAAAATTTTCGTATTTGGAAACTGAGTTTTTGATGAAGTTACCTAAAAATCCAAAATTGGATATAATTCATTCTGTCGATTTTGGAAAAATGGTTGTAATATTCGAAGAAATGAAGCTCAAAGTAACTTTGGCAACTCGAAATCATCAAAAAGTGTCCTTGGATAATTTTCGAAAATGCTTGGAAAAGAGTCAAAAATTGTATTAGGGGGGGTGTTAAAAATTGAGCTTTCGAAAAGTTCCCTAAAAATCCACAAATAATTCGGGACCAACTGATTCGAAAAACACAGCTAGGTGATGGATCCAGATTTGAAATTTCGAAATATCCGTTTTCAAAATCTTTTTTATATTTTCCAAAAAAATGGGAATATTTCATTTTCGTGATTCTGGAAAATGGTTGTAATATCCGAAGAAATGAACCCAAAAATAACTTCTATGACTCGAAATGAACAAAAAATGTTCTTTGATAATTTTCGAAAACGTTCGGTAAAGACTTAAAACTTTCATAAGGGGGATATTGAAAAAGCTTTTGACAAAATTTCCTATAACTCCACTAAAAATTCTGGACTGGTTGACTCGAAAAACCCAGCCTTGTTGATGGTTCCAGACTAAAGATTTGCGAAATATCCGTTTTCAAAATCAAATTTTTAAAATATTACAAAAATGGCCATATTTCATTTTGGTGATTCTGAAAAAGTGGTTAGAATATTCGAAGAAATGAACCCGAAAATAATTTCTGCAACTCGAAATCAACAAAACAATGTCCTTGAATAATTTCTGAATTTTTGAAACTACTTGGATAAGAGTAAAAAATTTCGCAAAGGAGGTATCGAAAATTGAGCTTTTGGTCGTTTCTCAAAAATTCACAAAAAATTTTGGACAAGCTGATTCGAAAAACACAGCCTGTTGATGGTTCCAGACTAAAATTTTCGAAATATTCGTTTTCAAAAATTAAATTTGTAAAATACATAATCCAGAAATGGTTATATTTATTTCATTCTGTCGATTCTGGAAAAATTGTTGGAATATTTGAAGAAATGAAGTTCAAAATAACTTTTGCAACTTGATATCAACAAAAAATCCCTTGAATAATTTTCGAAAGTGCTTGGAAGAGTCAAAAATTTTATTAGAAGGAGCATTAAAAATTGAGCTTTTGGCCAAGTTCCCCAAAAAAAAAAAAACATTTCTGGTCTAGCTGATGGTTCCAGACTAAGATTTTCGAAATATCTGTGTTTAAAATCGTATTTTTAATGGTGATTCTGAAAAAATGGTTAGAACATTCGAAGAAATAAACCCAAAAATAACTTGCTACTTGAAATCAAGAAAAAAATGTCTAGATTATTTCCGAAAGTGGCTGGAGAAGGGTCAAAAATTTTATAAATGTATTTAAAATTGAGCTTTATTGAGCTTTTGACTAAGTTTTTCAAAAATCTGTAAAAGATGTTGGATTAATGGTTTCAGACTACGATTTTTGAAATACATATTCGTTTTCGAAATCAATTTATTAAAATACTCCAAAAATGGCTAAATTTTATTTTGGGTATTCTGGAGAAATGGTTGGAATATTCGAAGAAACGAAGCCAAAAATAACTTCTGCAACTCAAAATCAATAAAAAATGTTGTTTGGATAATTTTCGAAAGTGCTTGGAAATAGTAAAAAATTTTATAGGAGCCTCCTCTGAAAAATTGAGTTTTCGCAAAGTTTCCTAAAAATCTACAAAAATTCTGGGATTTAGATTTCGACGAGGTGATTCGAAAAACATAGCCTCTTGATGGTCTCAGACCAAAATTTTCGGCATATATATTCGGTTTCAAAATCAAAATACATACCCCAAAAATGTCCACATTTCATTTTGACGCTCTTAAAAATGGTTCAAAGAAATGAGAATAAAAATAATTTCTGCAAATCGAAGCGAACTCAAAAACGCCTTTTGGTAATTTTCGAAAGTGCTTGGCAAAAAGTGTACTTTTTTTATTTTTTTAATTTTTTGTTTTACCGTTTGTATTATTCTTAGTTGTCTTATTTAATTTTTTTGCATGATTTATGCAGTTGTAACTCACTTTTTATCATTTTTTTACAATTTTTATAGTCACTGGAAACTTGCTTTAGTTTAAAATTTCTGTTTTAGAGAATATTAATAAATTTGTCTTATCTCCACCAATAATAATTTGTTCACGTCGCTCGAAAATTCTACCTAGTGAATACGATACTTCTGTACTGGTGGTTTATGATTCCGCCTTGATTTTTAGCACACTTACTTCACAAAAATTTTTGTGCAATATTTATTCTACGTAGCCGATATATCTGGCTTATCTACGCAACAAGTACGTGGTGCGCTTGGGTTCGAATCCTATCCTTGTCCATTTTTTTTAAGATACTGAATTTGTTGACTGTTTAACTTCAGGTGCGAGGGAAGTTTAGCCTAAATAACATATCTATATTTTTCCAAAAATATCCATAAGAGTTTTTGGTTACTTAAAAGTTTTTTTTTAATTAGAATCAAAATTTTGGTTAGTCTTGAAAATAAAAAAAATGTTTCTACGAAAAATAGGTAAAAAATTAAATACCACTAAATATTACTCCAAAACTGTTTATACTTTTATTCGCATCATTAAACCTCACCACCATTCATCACCCAAATTTCAAAACCCGCTGCACGCCCATTAAACCTCACGCCTGATTTACACCCGCCAAATGGCGACTTCCTACCTCAATAACTCCGTTTGAAAAACGCCAAACTAAATTCAAGTAAACACTCCCAGTCAAAACAAGCAATTTGTCCTCGAAATAAAATAGCGCCCCTCGGCCAAAAAACACCCATTTTTCACACTCGATAAAGCCGTCCCCGAATCTAATAATACACCGCAATAACAGCACGCATTACGTCTTTTTTAATATTCGCGGCCGCCGCCACTGTCGGCGGCGGCTTCACAGAACCGCCGTGATGGATATTAGCGGCGAATCGAAGAGTGCTGGGCAAATGTTTGCTGCCCTCTTCGTGTTTGCTCAACTCTCCATACGCACGTGAGCCCAATACCGATCGCTAATTACGTCGGGTGGACGTTTGATGGGTTCGTGGAATATGGTACCGACAAAAATGTGGTAGTGGCTGCCATTTTGTAGGTGATGAAATTTGTGTACTTCAATTAAGAAGTGACAGATTGATGTATGGGTCGATGGGGCTGGGCGCATGTGCGGGAGCCGTGATTAGTGCGGCGCGACAGGGCCGGACTAGGGGTTCGTGGAAACCTCTGGTCGGGGTTGCTGTCTTCCCTCAGCGCTCTGTTTCCGGGTCGTTTCTGTCCAACAACTCTGTAAGAAATTTCATCACGCTGTTTCGCTTCCCCCATTTGCCAAAAATAATATCGCTAATGAGTTTTATTAGTAAAGTGTTCTACCAACATGTAATGCTGATTTTATTTGCGGAAAATCTCGTGAACAGATGTTCCATTATATTTTTATCATTCATTACGACACCGTGTAATGTGGCATAAAGTGATGGAGTTTGCCTCGAAATGGGAAATTGATGTATAACCTCTTCACATTAATCCGGTGTTTTGTTACCCAAACGAGGCGAAATGAGGGCATAAAAAGAGCTGATGCGGCTGAGGAAATCGCGAGTGGTCGAGTTCGAAAATAAACAAAAATAATGCGAACCACGAACAATGTGTAGATGGTGTTTTATGTAAATAGGGACGTTAAGCAGCCAATAAAAACGTTTAATTGAAACTTTTCAGTTTTCGTACAGTTAAGAGGCATTTTAATGAGCGGAAGTTGGCCTGAAATATGAATGAGTATCCGCTGCAGAAAACAAAATTAATTTATAATTAATGTGGTTCGCTAACCCAAATAAAGCATTAGCTGGAAATTTTCTAAGTTTTGTTTTTTTTTTTCAGTTGCTGGTGTCCGGCCAGCCCACGACGAACGCGGGCTCGTCGCCCGCCTCCGGGGGCGGCTCGCTGTCCCCCGGCGGCTCGGCCAGCGGCGTGCCGGGGGCGCTCTCGCCCGGGGGCACGTCGTCCTCGGGCCCCACGCAGTGCTGCGAGTCCGGAAGGCCGCTGGTGACGGATCCGGTGACGGGCCAGAGCGTCTGCTCCTGCCAGTATGACCAGGCGAGGTTGGCAGCCCTGCAATACCCGCGCAGCGTCGGCGTCTACGGCGCCCCCTACCCCTCCACGGACCAGAACCCCTATCCCAGTATAGGCGTCGAAAGCTCGGCTTTTTACTCTCCCTTGGTGAGTTGGATCGTATTTCACTTTGTTTGCCGAGACGTGTAGTGTTTGGGTTTATGCTTGTACAGGTATTTAATGCGTTGTGTCCACTTGGTGGGGGCTAGGTTAGGGTTGTTGTTCCCAAAGCTGCGTAAAATATTTTCTTTTGAAGGGGATTCAAATGGAAAACAAAAAAATATTTTTCCTTTAAGTTCATAATGTCATGTGCTTTCACGTAATTCCATATCCGTATCAGAGTCAATAATTTAATAATTGCAATTATTTTGAAAAACCACAGGAACTGGTTTAAGGTTTCAATGTGATAATCGTCATGATATGGGAGGTCAGGTCAGGTCAGGTCAGGTTCGGTCAAGTCAGGTCAGGCTAGCTCAGATCAGGCCAGATTTCACAAACTTTCTTTATCTAATCTTATTAAAATATTTTAAATAAGTTTTTAAAATTTGTCAGCAATTAAACTTTGTATATGGATTTTCATGTCTAAGAAGAACTAGCTAAAAGAATTCCTAATTTCAAAGATAGGAATAAAGAGTTTTTTTTTCTTATTTTAATTACAGCGCTGAGTACCTATTTTACCGAGAAATCAATTAAAATACGATCAATGAAAGCCATGAATTTTCAAGATTTGGCGGTCATTTTGAAATTTTGACTTGAAACTGAACAATCAAAGACAAATCTTCAAAAAAAATCCAAGGCGATCTTTAAGGTCCAGTCGCTACGTTTTCAACATTAAATTTTCGGTACATTTTCAGAATGTAATATATCCATTATTAACAGATTTATGATTGTGAAATTGTAAATATAAGTTGTCCATAACTTTCTTGATATAACGCAAGAGTTTTATTAAAAACAGTTTGTGATCATACTTTTTTTTAAACTTTGGTGACATTTTTGCACACGAATTTTTAAAAATCAATATCTCAATTATTTAAGGAAATTTCGGAACACGGTTTTCAACACTTTTCAGCTAAACATACTCCAGAAATAGTACCAGATAAATCGTCGATTTTTTTTGTGAGAAATTATCCACAGTATAAAAAGTTTGTGTCTTATAAGCTGCTAAACGTTTATTTTTACTATATTTCAGTTCTGACCAAAAAAATCGAAAATAGATCTGGTACAATTTCCAAAGTTTTATAAGCTGAAAACAGTGGTGAAAACCGTGTTCCAAAATTTCCATAAATAATTGAAATATTGATTTTTTAAAATACATGATGTGAAAATTTCAGCAAAATTTAAGTAAAATGTAAAAATAACTGCCCTCGCAGTCATACCGGGTGTCTGGAAAATATTACGTAATGTACAGAGATTTACGGAAGTCCCAAAAAAAAAAAATTATAATGTAGATTACGAAAAAATGTAATTTTTGACTTTCTGATTTCTAAATGACTGAAATTCACCTTTTATTTTTTTTCTGACAATAACGATAACAACCAGTAGTCTTTAATCGTTGTGCATTATTATTATTAATAAAACAAGCTTTTTTTCATTAATAAATAAACCAAAAAAACATTTAATAAGACATTTATAAATTACAAAGAAAAACAAAGCCAACGGAAGAAAAATCCATTAAAGCATAACCAAGTAAACAGTAGACAAGATGTTCGAAATTCCTGCCTTGTGCATATAAGTAAGCTCGTAAAGTTTCCAAATTTTGATTATTTTTTGTAAAAGTTAATTATCAGTATTTGCTAAGATAAAACTGAATTTGGCAAATCACATACCCTCTGAGAAAAGAGAGGGTGGGTGGGTGGGGCTAGCACTTGCTAAGATAATAATGATTTTGGCAAATAACGTATTTTCCAAGAAAATAGAGGGCGGGTGGGTGGGGCTAGTAAGATAAGGCAGATTTTAACAAAACAAGTTACGATTAGCGCTTTTTTCACTTTTTCACATCCTAGATTCTAAGATTATTTTCCATTCCCACCCAACAGAAGAACATAATTCGCCCCGCCCACCCACCCTGTCTCATTTTCAGTGATTGATTTTTACCAATCTGAATGAAATGAATGATCGTACCCTCAACAGAAATAAAATTTGTCATTAGAATGAGAAGAGGTATTTTGAACATTTTCGTCTATTTTTCAACCATGTCCGAAAATTAGTTGAAGATATTTTCTTGTAGATTTCGATATCGAGAAGTCATTTTCGCCTTCGTTTCATCGGAAATTTCTACCGTTTTTCCAAAATCGCTATTTGAAATATTATTATTATTATTAATACAAAAATAAGGATCGTAATTTTTAGAATATCGTCAAAATAGCTCTCTATAAGAATTTTGTGGATGAAAAAGTATTATTAATTTTTGTTTCATTATTCTATTATTAGTTTCCAGTCCCACTCGACAGAAGAACATAATTAGCCCCGCCCACCCACCCTGTCTCCTTTTCAGTGATTGATTTTATCCGAACTGATGAAATGAATGATCTTATACTGAACAGAAACAAAATTAGTAGTTAGAATGAGAAGTGGGCAGGTGGGCGGTGCTAAGAAGAGACTGATTTTGGCAAATGACATACCTTCCAAGAAAATAGAGGGCGGGTGGGCGGGGCTAGTATTTGATATGATAAGACTGACTGCATTTTTCCCATTTTCGCCATTTTCGACCATCTTTCAAATATTCCGAAAATTAGTTGAAGACATTTTCTTGGAAATTTCGATATCCAGAAGTCATTTATATATAAAAAAAATACATAATATTTATATATTAAAAATCAAGATATCGAGAAGTGGAAAAATCGAGAACTCAAAATATTTGAAAATTGCAAAATCTCCAGTAATATTGAATTTCAATTTGGGATACACTTTCATTCAGAATGTGAATGAATGAAATGAAGGGGGGGTGGGTGGGCGGGGTTCATTATCTGTTCTTCTGCAGAATGGGAGTGGGGTTTAAAAGAAAAAAACTCCAGAAATCGTACCCGCCATATCGTCGACGTTTTTTGTTAGAAACGATACACAGTAAAAGAAGTTGAAAATAGATTTCGTACGATTTCAAAAGTTTTGCAAGCTGAAAACAGTGGTGAAAACCGCGTTCTAAAATTTCCATAAATAATTGAAATATTGATTTTTAAAAATAAGTGATGCCAAAAGTTCTGCAAAATTAAAAAAATATATCATAATAATGATAAGTAAAATGTTAAAAAAGCAGTTATATAGGGAATCGCCATAATAAAAAAAATCTTTATGATGTAGATTACGAAAAAATGAGATATCCTCTAAGAAAACAGAGGGCGGGTGGGCGGGTCTAGTACCTGCTAAGATAAAACTGATCTTGGCAAATCACATACCCTCTAACAAAAGAAAGGGTGAGTGGGCGGGGCTAGTACCTGCTAAGATAAGACCGATTTTGGCAAATGACAAGTGAGTAGAACTAAAAGCCAGCTGGGTAGAAATAGTCTTAGTTAATTTTTTTTTTGCAACTAAACTTAGATCAATTGTAAAAGTCTTGCAAAATTTAAAAAACCAAGAATCCTAACATTCGTAAAATGAAAATAAATTTCATTAATATTGGCGCTGGCAAGGACTCTGAATTTAATTGGATATTCCTGTGCTGTGGAGAGAACAACTGTCTTTTTAAAAATTAAAATTTTCAGAAAATAAAAAGGTCTATTTTTAAATTATGAAATTGATTAAAAGTTATTTTTACTTTAAATTTTAGAAAAGATTTAGGAATCTTTGTTTCTAAAATTTCGAAAATTACACTACCTGTGTGTATGCACATATATATAAATTCTGTTTATAAAAAAATTATCGTTGCAATTTTGAACTATCGATGTTTCAGTATTTTTCAGACATAATAGCCTGTATTATATTAGCAATAAACATATTTTGATTTTTGTTTTATTTTAGTAAATTATTATTTTCGATATTTTAAAATTGGTAGTTATTGCCATTTTTTACTTTTTTACGTGACACATCGACATACTGAAAGAAACAGAACAAAAAATCGAGTAAAGCAGCAATAAACCACAGGGTGTTCAATTTGAAAAACTGAAATTTCGAGATTTGAAAATTGTAATGTTTTAAAATATTTTCATAAACTCAGTATATAAAAATACTATTTAATGGATACTATATTAAAGTGCAAGCAACACATGAAAGGTGTCTTAAAAATAACATTATTGCAATTTTTTTGTAAACCCTGAGATTGCTAAGAAAATTCAAGAAAATTAAAATTAAAAAAAAAAAAACTATGAAGCCAAGGAAGAGACTATTAATCATTTATTATTTTAAATTTTTGAAAACTCATCCATTTTGGCAATCAAGAATCAAGTATTTTAAAATTTTGAAAGTTATGCCAAGTACTGTATCACAATTTTTTTGTTTTTTTTTTTGTGAATTGAAGTTTCAAATTTACTCTAAATTTGAAATACAAAAACTAGAACAAATACCTTCGTTTTTTTTTTTTTTCTTCTATCAACATATATTTTCAAAAAGTGTAAAATCATTCGAAAAAACCCATTTTTGCAGTTTGTAAAAGTTGATGTAGATCCCATAAGAGATTCATTAATCAATAAATATTATTCTTGTCTATCCAAACTTTCCCAAGTCCTTCATTTATTACTTCATCAAATCTTTAGTAATCACCACTACCTTGTTATATTCTTCTGTATATACTAATTAAGTACATTAATGGATACAACAAAAATAATCGAATATTCATGCTCTTTCTTGTATGGCTGCTTGGAACAAGAAAAAATATATTTGAAAGGTCTGAAAAATCGGGAAAAAACCTCGTCAAATTTGCACTTCAATTTTCACCCTCTCTCCAAAGCACATAAAATCACTATTCTTTTTTTCGTAATAATTTTAACACGTGTAGCTAAATCGAGACGACACGACTAAAAAAAGTCCACGATTTTCATACACGGTTTCGGATTTCATCATTACCACTCGATCTTTTGTTTGGACAAGCAAACGGGGCGTTTAATGAAATTTACGTACCCGTAAAGGTCTGCAGCCGCAGCGAGAGATGCCGAGGCCAATATTCAATTAAAATGTAT